CTCAAGATGGTGGCTGCCATTAGACTTCATTCCGGATTCCGCCCCGAGCGGGCGGACGCAGGCAGCCGCGTTGGTCGCTGCGACGACGCCACGCCCTCAAACGGCGCTTACGGCCGAACTCCATGCCAGACCCAGTGGCAACTTCCTCTAATAAATTCTGTAAGGAATATATTCTTCCTATTACTGTGGCCTTCCCAAGACTTCTCTCTCCTCTTATAAGTAACCAGGCCTAGAACATCGCAGACTTTAGGGTTAACCTTATTAGCCTTAACACTCTTCGTCTGTCTCTAGGTCAAGATACTGAATGTGTGTCGGGGATTCTTCTGCCGACTTCAGAGATGACTACACGAATCCTAGAACCTTAAGTGATTGGAGTGACGCATAGACCAGATTTCACAATCAGACAGCAAATTAGGAAGCCCAAAGACCTGCTACCAGCAACCGAGGAATCAGCCATGGTCTACAACATAAAATGCAAAAATAGCGACGCAAGGTATGTTGGTGAAACGGGCAAACGCCTGGGCACAAGATTGCACGAACATCAACTTACAAGCAACCACAAAGACAAGCTGCCTTTGGTCTATGGTCACGTGCGACAGCTGAACCACAACTTCGCCTTTGAGAAAGCGAGGGTGATCGGCATGGCTGGTGAGCAAATGGCCAGACTAGTGCTGGAAAGTTGGTCCTCGACAGACACGTTAGAGCGAGCAATCGATGTAAATCCCGTCCACCAAGATTTCCGTACTAGGCTCCCATCCGCTCAGAAGGGGACGAAAGAAGCTACGCAGGGCTGACAGCCGACGCCCATGGAGGAAGAATGCGGCAGCGGTCGGGAGTCAAATTACTATTTGGTATGCTTTCTCACGTTGGCGCCCACGAAGCCGACAGCACTTCGAGCGAAAACCAACGGCCGATCGATCCACAGCCTGGCGAGGGAGAGGTCAGCACGCAAGCTGACACCGCAGCAACCACGATAGTGGCGCAGGGAACAAACAGGACGCGATCCGCCATTGGTTGGCGGCAAAAACTTCGGAGTCCCAGGAAGTAATTGAGAAGAAGCCGGGACAGCTTTGCCGGGAGCACAAACATATGCACACAGATGGCTCACATGGACCAACACTAGCGTCTACCAGGTGGGTCCTAAACACTCCATCGAACCGAAATCCACCAATGTTTCGCCACCCGCCATTAATTGTCAATACAGAATGGGTATGTATTCACTCAAGAATGTGCGAATACTGATCGAATAAGCTTCCCGAGGTAAGCAGACTTCGTGTAGGTAGTTAGGTGTCTAAAACAGGCGACCACCTGCCAGGCTAATGCCGGCCAAATCATAATAGCAGAGAATTGCAGGAATGAAACCGTCGAAGACTAGGGAGACAGGAATGACCATTTCTGGCTCATTAGCCGTTATCAGACAGTCATACCCAATCCGAGAACACCAGTTTTTCCACAAAGACCGTCAAGACAGACAAGATGGCAGGTTTGCAGTATATCTAAGAACAGGGACATCCGTCGTCGAACGAGAGCACATCCTCGCTCTTGAATATGCATCCATATGGATAAAGCGAAAAATGAATTCAAAGAACCTGGAATTGCTGACGGTATTCAGGCCATCAAACATTCTGAGTTCAGCTGACGAGTCGCTCCTCGGTTTGGTGAAGGAAGCAGCTGTTAGGAGCAGCCTTAACAGACACACGAACGGGAAGCCAGCAGACAGGCACCTTGCCGCGCTCACGGCAGGCTATCGATCCGCATACAGGTGGCGAACGCAAACTGGCAATCAATCAATCAATAATTTGAAATTTAAAGCTAAGACCAGGCTAAAACTCTGACTAACCAGCCGTTGGGTCACAAGCCAATCGTGTCACTACTCGCGCCAGGACAGTATCTGATTTGTCCGATAGACCTGGCGGCGCACGCGTTTGTTTACCTCACATATGTTGTACTAAGTACGCTAAATGACTTCTATATTTGCGCTCATCTTGCTTTATTCTTCCTTGGGGACTCACACAAGGCGTAATTAGGCAGTTACATCTCGGCTTTGGATACAATTACAACAGCAGCTACCCACCAAGAGGTTCTAATTGCTGGTGATTTAAATGCACCTGAGATAGTGGGGAAGTCTGAAAGTCGTAAAGGTGTCAACTTCCTTCAGTTTGAAGTTGATGGAACTCATGCTTCACCTCCCTCTGGCACAGAATGTTAAGTCACTAACCAGGTTTCGAGAGAACCAGAGAGCTAGTTGCTTGGACCTTAATTTTTACGAAAAATTTATCGTACATTGATGAAGTGCATTCCAGTGCCCCACTCGGTAAGAATGATCATACGAAGCTAATGTGGGGATGGGAGGGTTTCCAAGTAGGGTCTTCAAAAGGTCCTTATGTATTATGACGACCCACTTAAATGTTTTAAGCAGGTTGAATTACCCATAATCTTCCAGGTTTCTACATGCCATCCGTCGACCCATCAGGGATTTGATGATGACATTAAACTGCAGAGCGATCCTCCGAAGGTTACCGCATACCATAACCGCTTAAGTCAGTATACTAAGCGAAATTGGCCTTTTAAATTAACCGCGGGAACAACGGTTTACTTAAAAATTTTAAGCAGGGTGATTTTCACAATCTTCGCACTTTTATACTTCGTTTACCTTTTTTCTAGTTAGTATTGGTGGTTCCACTTGTAAATGTACCTCAATGACCTCGCCCGAGGTTAGGGCACACTCCCCTACATACACGCGTTCGGCGTTGGTTGGGCGGGGGGTAGCGATGATATTAAAGCCTATTTAAGTGTCTTCTCCAAAGGTTTGAGTACGCGACCCAACTTGTCCTCGTAACGTTTTTATTTTACAGAAATATTGCGATCTAATTTGTTCCCTGACATGTACCGCCCATCTTCTTCCCTAAAATCAGGTTCCCGTGAGCCTGAGGGGCGCGCTTCACACGTTCCCCTGGCGGCCCCACAAGGAGTCCCTCAAATTAAGCAAATCTGCCAAACCAACTTAATAATTAAGTCAGCCTAGCA